ACTGGCTCACTGGAGGGTCAGCACTTCAGGAAAACAGGAAAGCTGGTGTCTCTGAGCGAGCAGCAGCTGGTCGACTGCTCGGGAGACTATGGCAACATGGGCTGCATGGGAGGGCTGATGGACTACGCCTTCCAGTACATCCAAGAAAATGGAGGGATTGACACTGAGGAGTCCTACCCTTATGAGGCCGAGGTAATAAAAGAGGAGAGTGGACAATAATCTTCTTGACAGGTTATCATAATAAATGAAAAAATTCTAAATCATAATCTTTGAAAGTACATTTGAAATTGTTCATATCTTGACTGTCATTATCTTGACAAATGACAGAGTTGGAGATGAAAAGACAATTATTCATGATAGACTTGCAAGCAACTGGTGTACTTTACTGCCACCTTGTGGAAAAACACATTTATTGACTAGTTTTAAATCTATATTTAAAACTATAGTACTTGGTAAATGCTCTGATCTCTTATATCTTTGCAATATACTTGGAAAATGTGTGAGTGAATAATTTGCATATTTTTTTTCTCGACTAGAATGGTAAATGCCGTTATGATCCTGATAATATTGGAGCCACATCCACCGGCTATACTGATGTGAGTCAAGGCGATGAAGACGCCCTGAAGGAGGCTGTGGCCACCATCGGACCCGTTTCTGTGGGCATTGATGCTTCTCAGATGTCATTTCAGCTCTACGAATCAGGTAAAACACTGTTTTGAAAGAGCCAAATAAAAATGTTATATAGAGAAAGAAATGTGAAGATTTACTTATTGATTTTTAAACCTCTCAGTCTAAATTATATGTATTTCTAGGAGTGTACAATGAGCCCCAGTGTAGCAGCTCAGAGTTGGACCATGGTGTGCTGGCTGTGGGTTATGGTACTGAGGACGGAAATGACTACTGGCTGGTCAAGAACAGGTAAATGATTTCATGTGATGCTCTTATTTTAATTCATGTTCTTGACTTCTTCTAATAGTTACTGAGGGCTGATACACAGCTGAATAAAGGCATCTTATACATGTAGATTAATATGTCTCTTCATTCAGTTACATATTAATCTGCTAAATGTTTA